CTGGGTGGACGACTCGGAACGAAGATGCCTATCGTCTCCACAGCTAACACCGCAACACGCCACCCAGTTCATCCGGGGAGGAGACGGCAGACGGTGGCTGCTGACGAGCCAGCGAAATAGGGTAATAATAACTGTCCGATCACACACCTCACTGCACAGCCTGGGATACTGTCCTGTCCCCCATGTCTCGGAACAGTGCGGATGGAGGCAACAGCAGCAACGCTAGTCCCTGCTCGACGGACAGGCGGTCATAACTCCCTGTTTGACAGATAGACGGATGTTATTTCCTGCTTGCCAATAAGGTGGCCGTTAGTCCCTGCTCAGCGAAAGGTCTCAACAGGTTCCTGCTCGACGGGGAGGCAGTCGTAAGTCCCAGCTCCGCGGGCAGGTGGCCGTTAGTCCCAGCTCCGCGGGCAGGTGGCCGTTAGTCCCAGTTCGGCAGGTGGCTGTCAGTCTAAGCTCGGCAGGCGGTCGTAAGTACCAACCCGGCAGGTGGCCATTAGTCCCAACTCGGCAGGTGATCGTTGGTCCCAGCTCGGCAGGTGGCAATTAGTCCCAGCTCGGCAGGTGATCGTTAGTCCCAGCTCGGCAGGTGGCCGTAAGACCCAGCTCGGCAGGTGGCTGTTAGTCCCAGCTAGGCAGGTGGCCGTCAGTCCCAGCTCGGCAGGTGATCGTCAGTCGCAGCTCGGCAGGTGATCGTCAGTCCCAGCTCGGCAGGTGGCCGTCAGTCCCAGCTCGGCAGGTGATCGTTAGTCCCAGCTCGGCAGGTGATCGTCAGTCCCAGCTCGGCAGGTGATCGTTAGTCCCAGCTCGGCAGGTGGCTGTTAGTCCCAGCTCGGCAGGTGATCGCCAGTCTTAGCTCAGCAGGTGATCGTTAGTCCCAGCTCGGTAGGCGGCCGTTAGTCCCAGCTCGGCAGGCGGCCGTCAGTCCCAGCTCGGCAGGTAGCCGTTAGATCCAGTCCGGACGCCCTATAGATGACGTGCCATTCATCTCGGCTGCCCTCCCCGACATGCGGCCCGCCGGTCGCGCGCCTCCTGTTACAAAACAGCTCCGGGCTTGAAGCAGCAGCCCCTCCCCCCCCCCCCCCCCGCCTCCGCTCCCTTCATGGCTGCAAAGTGCTTCAGTGGACAGGGTCAGGCCAAACTCTGGAAGAGTCGGCGCGGCATGGTCCGGGGATCGGACCCCGCAAGGCCAGCTGGTTCCGGCACGCAGGGTGTGTTACGACGAAGCCACTGATACTTTCCACGGAAACCTGCTACCTTTTACGTGGTCGCCACACCTTCCTGACAACCAATCGCTGGACGCGATGCACGCAGGACAATGACTGCTGTTGCAAATCGTGCATTCGCGGTGCACCGGCTGCACTGACAACCACCTCGGACCACGTGGTGCACGGGTGCAAGGCCACGCCGGTCGTCACGAGTCACGAGACGCCGGCTATACTCATGGCACGCAGCGCCACGTGCCGCGCGCTGGCGCCGAGCCATGAGTTTTACCGGCTCACACATACCGTGGGCTTGACCGAGGAGCTGCCACGGTGGCAGGGGTGATGGGAGGAGGTGTGGCAGGCACGTGCGGCGGGCAAGTCAGGTGCCATCACAACCCGCGGCCCTGGCCAACCCGGCCAACCAGAGCGAGGAGGAACTTGTTTATGCTGAGGTGCTGTCTTGGTGCGCCCCGTTGACGCTGTGATGCAGTGTGGTGAAGTTGTCATGCCCCGTGTTGGCGGCGGGGGCCCGTGGCCGGCCTGCGGCACACTGCGCTGCCGTCACCACAGACGTCAGTGTCGCGTGTCTGTGCTAAGTCGAGCGTGGGCCACCAATGCGGTCACGCCGGATTCGTCCGCTACCGGCCTGCTCTTCAAGCGCCGCTGGGTGGACGATTCGGAATGAAGGGATGCCTATAGTCTCCACAGTTCACACCACAACAAGGCACGGCGCTCATCCGGAGAGCAGACGACAACGCAGTTCGATCGAGACCACCCTCTGCCACCTCTCACCGCGTCCGTTTCTTTTTCGCAACCCTTTGTCTGCCTGGCTGGCGGGCCTAAGCCTGTGATTAACGCCCGGCTGGCGCTCGCACGTCGGCCGTAACTCGCGCCCGTGCGCAGGAAGCCGTCCCGCGGCCGGCACGTCCCAGCCATCACCATCAGTCGCACGGCCTGACAGCGCGGTGCCTGTACATGCGGGGGAGAACAGACAGCCGCAGCGGAGATAGCGCCGCGGACGTCAGCACCGGGCCGCCGTCGGCCGGCGCTCCTCCCGGGCGCCGGCACCAGCGCGAGCTGTACCGTCACGGACCGGCTCTCCCAGTCGGCCGAAGGCAGACGACCCGAGATCCAGTTCAGCACAGGGAGCGATTCCGCCCGGCCACGCCACCGCTGTCGACGACCGCAGCCGCCTCACCTCGTGTGGGAATCCCGTGCTTCATTTACACCACATGCAGGAGTTGATTTAGTCGTCAGCATGTCACGTGTCTCGCGTCCCCATTGCCTCATAGGTTGGTATCCCATGCCGAATCAACACACCAGCGGACGTCTTACGCCCTGGTTATACCACAAACAGGATTCTCATGGCGACGTCACCAGTGGGCACAGCCTTCCACCGTCTTAGTGGCGCCACCGACAGACACAGCCTTCCACCGTCTTAGTGGCGCCACCGACGGACACAGCCGTCCACCGTCTAAGCGACGCCACCGGTGGGCACAGCCTTCCACCTTTTCAGTGACGCCACCGGTGGGCACAGCCTTCCACCTTTTCAGTGACGCCATCGGTGGGCACAGCCTTCCACCGTCTTAGTGGCGCCACCGGTGGGCACAGCCTTCTACCGTCTTAGTGGCGCCGCCGGTGGGTACAGCCTTCCACCGTCTCAGTGACGCCACCGGTGGGCACAGCCTTCCACCGTCTGGCTACGCCAAAGTCGCCTCGCGGCCGCGGGATTACCGCAGGTAGGCGGCCACAGACACCGAGCGTGTCGCTGACCCACGCAGACACTCGAGATGTCCAGGGACAACTCCGTCCCACTGACGAGGGACAGGTGACGCTGCAGTTTCGATCAAGCTATGCCGGCAATGCCGGCTGGACAAATATTTTCTTTCATATAACGAATCTACAAATATCGTCTTGATCGAATTACAACAAAGGAGTTAGTGCGATGAACTTGGCAAGGCGAAGGCAGCATCTGATCTCAGCTATTCGCATGATACACGTTCGACAACATACCGAAGAACAGAACCTTGCATTTGATTGTAGGCCACATGCATGATTCATAAAATGGGTAGACGCGGATTACAACAATTTGCCTCCCACTCGGAATTTGCTGAGTACACTATACAAAGCTCGCGGATTGGTTTGGCTAGCACTGTGTCATATACTGAGGCATATTTGGCCTCACTGGCGTCCCGCAACAGTCAATCCCATCAGCTATCTTCCGAGACACGCAGACCGCTTAAAAACCGGCAGCGCTTGATTCTTGGACGCCACACAGGTTAGGCGATGACTCCACACAAAGGTACGTATGGATGCGTCAGATAGGCGACCCGTCCGGAATCTTTAGTTTACGGCCACTGGCGCCCGACCGGGTGACAGGCCTCAGCATAAACAAACGTCTGCTCACTAGCGGCCGTAGTGAGCGGAGGGTCAACGCCGTAAGCCGGCCGCAGGGCACCGTGCAGCCCGGAACCCGCAGCCCACCGCCGGCCGCAGACCGCGGGCTCCGGCGGTCCCAGACCGCGAGCCCCGCCGGTCCCAGACTGCGGGCCCCGGCGGTCCCAGACCGCGGGCCCCGCCGGTCCCAGACCGCGGGCTCCGGCGGACCACAGGCCAGCGGTCGGCGGGCGGCCGTCTTCGAGGCCGGCCCGGGCCCGGCGCCGCGCCGGTCGGGACTGAGGCCGGCGGTCGGAGCCCGGCGCGGCTGGGCGTCGCCGGCGGCGGGGCGGGGGCGGTGACCAGCCCACGTGCGGACCCGCCCGGCCGGTCGCACGGGAGCCGGGAGCTGAGGCGGCGCCATTATCAGGCCCGTGGCGAGCATAAGTCGCGTGTCGTCAGCCGCTGCCAGCTGGCGGCTGGAGAGGTCCAGTGCAGCACAACGATCCAAGTCCGGTCGACTCGGTCCCCCTGTGACCGCCTCAGGCTCGCTAGGCTGACTCAGATCCCCTACAACGGACTCAGAGCCCCAACAACCGACTCAGATCCCCTTCAACCAACTTAGATCACTTACAGCCGACTCAGGTCCACTGCAGCCGGCTCAGATCCCCCACAACCGACTCAGATCCCCGACTCAGATGCATAACAGTCGACTCAATCCCCTGTGACCGACTCCGATCCGTTAGGCTGATTCAGACCCCCTGCAACCGACTTAGATCTCTTCCAACCGACTCAAACCCACTAGACTGAGTTAGATCCCCTATAACCGACTCACATCCCTACAACCGACTCAGATCACTTACATCTGACTCAGATTCACTGCAGCCGACTCAAATCCACACTAGTCGACTCAGTCTTCGGTGGACGACACGGACCCGCGTCAGCTCAGACCCGCTGCAGCCAAGCGAAGCTAATTCTACAGCTGACTGAGGCCCCTTAATATGGAGAGGCTGAGACCTCCTCATACCAGCTGGTTGTTACGGACAGGGCGCAGATGGATGGGTACAGAACATGCAGAGTTCTCACCCCGATACATGTGGCGATAACATAATCACAACCCACGGATATGATAGCGTGCTCGCCAAATGTAATAAGTGCTATCCCTCCGCCAGTTGTACTCTATTACCGAACACGAAACATCCCCAGCAGCAGCAGAACATAATCTAGCGGACCTCCAGAGGAGCCCCATTTGTACAATTTGACCAGATCCAGCCTGACTGCCACCACCAGGTCAGTAACCTTCCCCCCCCCCCTCCCCCCGTCACCTGATCGGGTTTACCCACGATTCCTCACGTGGCCGGACGGCTCGGCACCCCTAGCCAGATCCCCTCGTCGGCAGACTCCCGGGGCCCAGCCGGCAGCGGCCGACACCGCAGGCGAGGACAATGGGTGCCAGGCGAAGAGCGATGGCGGTGCGCGGGCCCCACCATCGCTCCTGGGCCCGGCCCCGGCCCCACCCGTCTGTCGCGGCGCCGCGCCAGTGCAGCGCGGCCCGCCGCCAGCCGACGCCGGCCGACGCTGACCGGCAGTCATCAGCGGCGACAGCGGATTGCGCCGCGTGTCGCTCCACGGGCCGTGAATAGCTCAGGAATGTGCTTATAATAAACTCACTTGTGCTCGCCCGTGCCAAGGATCATAGCGTTTAATGTGTCTCTGCCAGCCCCCTGTAAACGTCCAATTGCCAGAAACACAACACGGTAAGATAGGAGGGCCGTACGCAATGAGAAACGCCGCTTCTGGCAGATACCCAGATGGCTCTCCGCCGGAGGATGCATTGACGAGCGATCCCTACAAATCTGACGTTATTTCACTGTTTGGCTGAGCCTGAAAAAACACGGATCGAGCCGACAAAAGCAGTTGCAACTCCACCCGCGCAATTCCATATTCTATGACATGTTCAGCGACTCACCTTCCACCCATAGGTCCTCCATGTCGGTGCGCAGTTGGATGTTCTTCAGTCCGATGCAGAGTGTGGCGAGCAACAGGATGCCGGCGAACAGAATTTTCCCGGCGTGACTCTGCACCAGTCGGCCAGTGTGGAACAGGTAGAACTGAGTCCGGGAGCGCAGCCACAGCGCCGCCCGGCTCCCACTGGCCTTCCCCTGCAACAGCGGCCATACGTCAGCCACACAGCCACAGCGCCGCCCGGCTCCCACTGGCCTTCCCCTGCAACAGCGGCCACACGTCAGCCACACAGCCACAGCGCCGCCCATCTCCCACTGGCCTTCCCCTGCAACAGCGCCCACACGTCAGCCACGCAGCCTCAGTGCCGCCCGGCTCCCACTGGCCTTCTCCTGCAACAGTAGCCACACAGCCACAGCGCTGCCCGGCTCACACTGGCCTGCCCCTGCAACAGCGGCCACACGTCAGTTACATGGCCACAGCGCCGCCCGGCTCCCACTGGCCTTCCCCTGCAACAGCGGCCACACGTCAGTCACACAGCCACAGCGCCGCCCGGCTCCCACCGGCGTTCTCCTGCAACAGTAGCCACACAGCCACAGCGCTGCCCGGCTCACACTGGCCTACCCCTGCAACACCGGCCACACGTCAGTTACATAGCCACAGCGCCGCCCGGCTCCCACTGGCCTTCCCCTGTAACAGCGGCCACACGTCAGCCACAGCGTCGCCCGGTCCCCCCCCCCCCCCCCCTGACCACGTCGTAGGCGACGCAGACCAGGAAGTGGCGCTAACACAGCGTTCAAGAGGAGGCGAACACCGCTTTCTAGCTGACGCAACAAATTCCGATACAGCACAGAAACTCCCTGATAAACGTTCTCTTGAATTCGGTGGCTTGCGCCGCATGGCGCAGAGTCCGCGGCCCCGCGGCCAAGCTGACTGTTGTCCGTGGTGTGGTTTGATCAGATTATTCAACACCTTTAGGGGGACGGCAACTGCTTGGTCGGAATACAGCATACTCTCCCACTTGTGATATGCGTGAAGTGCACAACACCTTGGTCCAGATCTACTGCTCATCCAGTCATGATGCGGTGGGCGCCGCTACGCTTACTTGCAACGTGTAAATCGGTGTGTTCTTGCAATGAGTTCTTTGCAATGTGACACACTTGCGACATATTTGGAATGTGTTCGTGTTCGCCACGTGAGACAACGCATATTCGCTTCACCATGCCGTCGACCGTCGGTCGGCCATGTGCCGGTCTGGGTCGACCACCTGCTCGCTCACCGCGTTCAGGGCAGCATGCCACACGCCTCTGTTTAAGAAATGTTTCAACCTCACGTGTATACCTGCTCACATATTTTTGGCAGAGGCAGCTGCTCAGACGGCGGCAACGGGCTCGACTTGAGCATTCGCTCCACGTGTGCACATCTGTTCTCGGATGCATATCGGTCTCGAATATTTCGGTCGTCTGCTTGCAGACGATTCGGCAGTGGGTTGGAAAAATAGCCTGTGGAATGTTGGGCGCGACGTACACGGAGCTATCTTGACAGCACAATTCGGAATCAATGTGACGTGGCTCGTTTCTAAAATGCTAATTACATCAGTGCAGACCACCTCGAGTAAGACGTAACCGGTGCATGCCAAGCGGAAGGAGCCATTTCGAGGCCTGAGAGAGACCCAGCTGATATACTGTGGCAACGGAGGCTAGACCCCCGTTGTATGCGATCCAGCTGTTGTCAATCACTTGGCTGTCTGCTCTTGCCTCGAAGGCTGGTTCAATCAAACCTAGCATCACACGAAACGCAATGTTGGGAGCCCCATCCCCCGAAACGCCTCCTTTTCAACAGGTCAGTACGCTGGACAACCTTGCCGCAACAACCTCGCTCATGTCGAAGAATCCCTCAACTTATCCAGACGCTAGAGTGTCGGATTCCTACGCTCTATCCCCCATCCCCCCCCCCCCCCCCCCGCTTCACAGATAGACAACTCTAGCATTGCAGCTCAATCTGCAAATGACGTGTCGGTGCCGCACGACGTGTGCGATCTCCGGCATCAGCACGGGCGGCGTCCCAGCAGCTGGTCGGCCGCCGTGGTGAGTGGGTCAATATTCTCCGCTGTCGGGCACGACTTTGGCTCACGAGCGGCCCTCGAGGGCCGGCCAGCCGGCCTGACGGGCGCACCGCGTGACCCCGGCGGATGCCTGCTCAGCTCACCACCCGTCCGCATTCCGTGACGGTGGCGTTCAGTACCGCCGCTTCAAGGCGGCGGGCGCAATTCGTGATGACATTGATATGTTTCCACTACGGGTGAATGAGATGTGGTCTCGGGCTGGGTCGCCAAGGCCCACCATGCCCTGCACCGTTCGTGCACATTCCACACTATGTAGTAACGTGCACCGTGCAGCGCAGCGGCATGCGCTGAGTACTGGCAATGCATCGTGTGGTGCAGCATACCGGGATTAGCCGTCACTGCAATGAAGCAATTTGACATGTGCTGGTTGCACAGCCTTCCTTCATGAGAACGGTTGATACCAGCTGCGCTGGTTCCCTCCCTGTGTCTGGGTATGAAGACTACACCAGCTGCCCGCCTGTGTGGGAGGAAACCAACTACACCAGATCCCTCGCTGGGAGGACACGAGCTGCACCGGCTATCCCCCGCATGTGGGACTGAAGATCACATCAGCTCCCTCCGCGCGTGGAACTCCCCAATGCGCCAGCTCTGTCCCTGCGTATGGGGCTGTAGATAACACCGGCTCCACGTCTGTGTATAAAGCCGCAGACTAAATCAGCTGCACCCCTACTACACAAACTCCCTCCGCGTGTGGAACTCCCCAACGCGCCAGCTCTGTCCCTGCGTATGGGGCTGTAGATTACCACGTCTGTGCATAAAGCCGCAGACTAGATCAGCCGCATCCCTGTGTGTGTGGGGGGGGGGGGGGGTGTAGACTACACCAACTCCCTCCCTGCGTGTGTGTCTGGGAGGGGAGAGGCTACTAGACTACGCAGCCTGCATTGGCTACGCGTCCTTGTGCGTGGCGACGATGATCACAACAGCTCTCTTCCTGTATGCGAGGCTACGCCATGCGCTACGCTATGTATGCGAGGCTATGCGAGACTACGCTAGCTTCCTCTCTGTATGTGGGGATACAGACTGCATCAGCTCTCTCTCCGTGTGTGGGGTAACAGACTGCACCAGTAGCCCATATCCTCCGTGCGAAGCTTTAACTTCGCCAGATCCCCCCCCCCCCCCCCCCCTGTGCGTGGGGATTAAAACTGCACCAGCTCCCTCCAGGTGTGTGAGGCTACAGACTAGGATAAGCCGTGTGTGGGGGTGTAACGCCATCCTCCTCCTTGTAAAAAGATGCAGCCTGTGCCAGCTCCTTCTCCGAGGTTAGGGATACAGACTACACCAGCTCCCTCTCTGTGTGTGAAGCTTCAGACGACACCAGTTCCCTCGCTGTCTGAAGCTAAAGACTACCCCAGCTCCCTCTGTGTGTGTGGGGATCCAGGCTACACCAGCTCCCTGGCCTAGTGTGAGGCTGCTGGATGCAGCGCCAGCTTGCCTGCGCGACCGCGGCCGCCTGCCTCCCTGTGCGGCCCGACTGCAGGGCCGCCAGACTGCGCAGCGCGCTGCTCCGCGCCGCGCGGGCCTTGAGCGGCGCTCTCCACGTGGGTGGTCCGGAGGAGGCCGGCCGCCGGCCGCTCGGCCGCGAGAGAGAGAGCGCGCGCGGGAGAGTGGCCGGTCGGCGGCCGGGCCAGCACCGTAAACACCAGCCTACCACGCACGGGCGCCGGCTTGGTGGCAGCCGGCGCCGGCAGGCCGTGTCGGCGACCGGACCAGGTCGTGGCGCCGGCGGCCCGGCGGCGGCGTCGCCGCGGCCCTCGCTGCGTGCACCTGGCGCCGCTCAAGGTCGCTGTACCACATACAAAGCGCGCGCCTGCAGGCGTCGCGAGCGGCGCCGAGAGCCGACCATTAGACGGCGGCGCCGGGCGGCGGTCGCCGACAGACGGACGCGGGCGGGGCTTACCTTGCCGATCTGCTGGAGCGCCACCCTGGCGTCGATCCAGCTCGGCCGCAGCAGGAACTCGCGGTTGTAGGCCGGCCGCTCCGGCTGCTTCTCGGCGTCGGCCGGCGCTGCGCCGCCGCCGCCTCGCACCACCATGGCCGCCACTGCGTCACTCGCGCGCGGCGTCGATCATCGCGCGGCGCTCCACGGGCGCCGCATGTTGCGCCCGTCCCCCGGCGCTGCCCACCTTCCGGCCGCGCGCACCCGACTAACCGGTCGGCGGGCCATGCTGGCACGCTCGCCCGCCTGCCCCTCCCCGCGCGGCCGCGGCCGCCGCGCGCGCTGATTGGTCGCCGCCGCGCCGTTTCCTAGCAACGGTTCTCCCATTCGCGGCGCGGACCACACAGAGCGCGGGGCGCGGGCGGCGCGGCCGTGCGTTGGGAGCGAGGCCGGTGCGCCGGCTGGCGCGTGGTACGTCGGCGAGTCGTCCGACCAGGTCGCAGGATAGGTCAGGGGCGGTACACCGGAGCCACGGGGAGGGTCGGCCAGAAGGGCCGCGTGGTCGCGGCATAGGTCGGCGAGGCGAGAAAGGGAGCGGCAGCCCGCAGAATAGGTCATCCATCTAAACCACGGGGTCTCCGGATCGGTTGGCCGTCGGGGCATAGGCCGGCAGATATGTCGGCCAGCAGCAGCATCCTCTTGAACAGCAAGTGTACGATGTGGATTACCAAGTTAGCTTTCCCGGACGGCCACATCGGAACCCCAGGTCATATCATGCGTGTGGGACGTTGGACATGGCCAGGGTTAGCGGATCCGGACGGCAGCCTGGCACGCGCTTAGAGGGTTTCTGCGGACCTCAGATCGGGTGAGGTACGCTGACTTCGTAAAAGGGTCTAAACTGCCTCAATCGATTCCGTCAGCGTGGTATAAACGGGGTGGTGGGTTCGCTGGGCGTCAGGTCGGCACCATGACGGAGCAGGCAGATAGCAAGGAAGGTTGAAAGAGGCGACCAATAAATCTGCAGCCGATGATCAGGCTGACTCCCAGTATCAATGAACAGTCAGACACGAGGTGATGGTCATACCCATGCACACGCCGTCCAGAACGCCGTTCTGTGAGTCTCCACAGGTGTCCTCAGCCCCTCCCCCATCCCCAGTCTGTTGGCAGACGCAAACATCCCTTCACTTACCTGCAGACACAAGCTACAGCTCTTAAGATTTTACAAACACCCCGAGTGTAAAATGTCAAACGGATATGTATGCTTCAGCCGTCGACCGGTTGCATGCCTCTGCATACTTTTGTTTTCTGTTATCGCGTCGAGTTATACCGTCAAAAGCAATCGTATAGCTCCCAATGGAGGCATTGAGTCAGCGAATGGTGGGATATGACGGAACAAGAAAATGTGTTATCCGAAATCAGGAGGGATGATTATCAACCCGATCTTCACGACGCACGTATAGTGAGCCCTGCAAATAAGCTAGCTTGATATGATATGGAGTAGTTCCAGAGCGTGGCGTTCTTCCTGTGGCATATCTGTCCGCATGGCGTGAGCAGTGTAACATGCTACATATATTTTAAAAATCCGGTAGCTGGCATTGCACATGGCCAAGCGTGCAAAACTGGAAACTTTGGTGAGAACAGGGATGTAGTTTCGGAAATTGAATGGGGGCTATACCGTAAAAATATCAAACTTACCCGGAAAAATTCGCCAGTAAACAGGTTATTTGCGGATTTGGCTCATTTTCCCAAAGTTGGGGGATGGGGGCGTGACGTAAGATGTGGGGGGCTTTAGCTCCCCCCCCCTTCCTAACTCAGTGGGAAACTACAACCTCGTTTCAGCAGCAAAACGCGGTGATTAGTGCTGCCACCTATACAAAGATTTCTGAAGCATTACTTTACATACAGTGCGCTGTTTTGTTGCAGCCGTTTTCGGTCGGATCTCTGCCGATACTTAATTCCAGTCAACTGACGGAGATCTCGCTCCTTTAGTGGCAATTAACTTTTTAAAAGTGATATGAAAGGGGCCAACCGCCAAGCGAAGAAGACTCACACTTGAAGGCAATTCCATGCTAATGTATTTGCCAGCGCCAATCACAGCTTCATGCGGATTTCAGCGAGCGATCGTAGCTAACGTCTAAAAATCTAACAATCTGACAATCTAAAAAGCTAAGTACGCGGTGCTGAACATACTTTGTTTAAATCAGTAGTAATACAATGTGTTTCTGTATGCAGTGTAAGCTTGCATGAATATGCAGATAGCACATGCGTCCGCTTTTAACAGTGGCCACATGATTATTTCGGCAGCAGCCCAGGTCAAAGGAGACCTGGCTGAATCAAAGGTCTACCAAAGAAAGAGCTGTTTGGTTGAATATGTGCAACGCTCCCCCGTACTCTCCTGACTCATTCGGCGCATTTCCTTTTGTCAGGATGCTCCAACGCCGTGACGATGCAGCGAAGGTTCGGCCTTGGTCCGGATGCCTGGGGTATTTGACCTCTCCCAGCCGCTGGCAAGGAATAACACGAGCCTTCAGGCACCTAAAAACATGATAACCAAATTGAAAAAGATTCAGGCGGTAATCGATAGCTACCCCCGCTCAGTCTCGTCCAGGAACCGGCGAGTTGACACCTGTCACATGATCGACAACATCACATGTCATGCTAGGTATTTACAAGTTGTCGAAATCCTGAAACGGCTTCAGAGTCTTATGGCTTCTAAAGATGTGGTTGCATATGTTTAGCACAAGCACCAAAAAAGGGCGTGCTTTTGCACTTTAAGATATGTCACTATGTCTTGCAAAGATCAAGGCCAAGGAAAAGTCAAGGCCAGCTCAGGTCAGCTTCTTGCTAGATCAAGGTCATTTCACATTATCTGGCACCAGGGCTCTGCTCTTCCAGCTCGCATGAAGTACAGAAGTCATTAGTACGAAAATATGCCGTGTGGTTTACAGTGATGCAATGGTCACAAATCGAACTGACATATAAGTTGCCTATTTGGTGCGAAACCCATAACTGTTCTTGCATGTCCTCTGTTGCTGAACTGGTGTGAGCTCGAATAATGTGACTTCAGACCGCCAGACAGTCGTAACAGTCGATAACCCGAAACAAGAAAAGAGACCACCAGTGATGGCAAACAGAGGCAAAAACCTCCGCACAACTTCGCTAACAACATCCTAACTTAGTGGCTTAAACCAACGTCTAAAAAGTCGTCATCCAGAATGTGTGAAATTGATCAACTGTTGGGGGCGGGTGTGTTGGAGGATCTAGCTTGCGGGGTTCGGAAGCTGCTCCTATTGTCGTTTGGAGGCTCGGGAAGGCTTTGTAGTCCCCAGACCGTCTCAGGTTGGCAACGTGCCAATGGAAACAGCTGCCGCCCGTCTCAGTCTTTCAATGCTGCAGTGTTCTGACCCGCCAAGTTACGGCGGAGAAGTCACCAAAGTGGTAAAGTTTGCTGTGTTAATGGTTGATTGGGTCTTAAAGACTGCTTTTGCTTCTTGGAACAGTGATATTTTGCGTGTCCTAAGGCCAGTAACATACCTTGTACAGCGGGAACAATCAAGGTCCTATCAATATGACGTGAGAGTCACCATTTGCCACCAGGAAGCTAACGTGAAAAACTGAGTTAAAAGGACCTGACACCTTTGGCGACCATATCAATGTATTTGATCAATGCGCTGAGAAGTGCGCTTTTCACAGAAATTCGATAGGTAGTGATCCATTGATTTATCACTCCCGTGCTAATTTGCAAACAACATTGCTTGTAAATTCGCTGCTCATGAATATGACCAGCCCTGGCAAGTTCAGTCGACGGAGCGACCAAAGTGTTTCAAACAATGTGAATAGTTTGTGTGGACGCTGGTCACAATCAACAGGACCATACACTTGCGTGGTTTTCGTGGCTTTTCCCCTCTCGACTTAACCTCTGTGGTCATGCGATAATTTGGGAAAACCCCACTCAGTCAGACAGCTGGCATGTCATTGCCAAACAATTCCTAGAGCACAGTTTTTAAAGGACTGGTGATGTGGCTGCATACAATTACATCAGCCTGTGATCAGTGGGTGTCAAGACATTGGCTCCCGGGCACTGTGATGGCTGGGCCGCTCAGCGTAGTGTTTCACATTTATATGGGGTTTAAACTGAAATGACCATCCTGAAGATCATTCAGGGCAACTCACAGCCCCGCCCTTTTTAAGATTTAAGCCCTCTAGTTTCTGACCTAAACGCCAGTAAAGATGGGAAGACTATTTTGGAAATATTTTTCAAGGTCATCTTGGCATGCATGACGTTATGATATTGTTAGTCAAATCCTGTCATTCCTTATCTCGTGCAGCGATCAAGGCCAAGAACAAGATGTTGGGCCAGTCGCTCATATTTGGCGTTATGAGCACGATTCCGAGATAAAACGGCTATCAATCAGCTCTCAGTCAATGTTATGCAGGGCACGATGACGTTACCAAACAGCAACGTATCACACTACGCTATTGCTTAAGGTTGAACGATTTCCTAAAAATTGTCTTGGCTGCACCCATGGCCTGACCTTGGTCTGCCACAGGTTAGCGATCTTACAAAGTACGTCTTAGTTTTTTATACCAAAAGATGGACTATTCAATTGTCTACAGCTACACTAAATTGAGCGCAGTTACACCGCGCCGTTCAGAAATAATTCGGGAAAAGTCTTTGCAGGGGTCAAATGAACTCACACCTAAGCCCATTTTAAAGGGAGCACTCCACATTTATATGGGGTTTTGGAATTTAAAAAGCCCTCTTCAGGATCTTTTTGGCTGTTCATAATCCTGCCCTTCATAAGACCAAAGCTCATCTAGTTTTTTAGCTACACGCCTGCGAAAATGGGAAAAGATATATCGAAGAGACTATTTCAAAGTCACCTTGATGTTCATGACGTCAAAATAGCGTCATTTAAATCCTGTCATTCCCTAAGCCATGTGGCGATCAAGATCAGGAAAAATAAAATTGTCGAGGCGTTCATACCTGGCGTTCGTGAGCGCGATTTCCAGATGTAGCGGCCGTCAATTGGCTCTCAATTAATGTTGTGCAAGGCACGATGACGTAATCCAACCATCACGCGTTTGTGGCTATAGTTAGTGAACAGATAGTTGTGCTGTCCACAGCAGCTTTTTCTACTTATATGTATACCAATAGTTAGAAGTGAGCTTGTTTCATCATACATGATGCTTTCTTCAATATCTTTAAATGTGAAACATTCCCTTCAAAGGAGATTGCCACCTTTAGA